CAGCAGCAGCAGCAGCAGCAGTTACCAAGCAGCACCACCAGCTACCAAGCAGCCGCAGCAGCAGCAGCAGGGAAAGAGTGAGCTTTCCTTAGAGTCTCTCGTGCCCGAACATTTGGTCTCGAACAATAGCACATATAGGTGCTGCCTGAGTAATTGTAGAAGGGCGACGTGGAAAGACAGATATATCTGATATATCTGTTTTTTCACGAATAAATGCTGACGATGCAGCCAGCAGCGGTGTGCATGATTGACATCTAGGGGTTGTATGCGAACATGTGCCAGCGACCGAAGACAACGCTTGTGCATGCTCCCTGTCGCTCGAACATGGAACGCGGACTACCATGAGTGAAGCAAAACAGCCTGTTCAAACATCTTACTGGGTTCTGTCATTCATGTGTGAAGTAAGTATAACTTGAGAGAGGAGGGGGGTGAACGAAAGGTAGCAGGGAATCAGGCGTAATCCGGGAGGAGGTGAGAGGCCCCCCACTTGTTTGAAGAGAAGTGAGTGAGCGTGATGAAAGAAAGACTAATGCACAAACGCTTGACAAAACCTCCAGAAGCTGTAGCGGTCTAGCGGTTTCAATACAGGTTGACGTGCCTTCAAAAGGAATCACTTCGGATTTACATAGTGACGTGCGGCGACCCTGTAAATTGCGTGGCCGCAGGCCATGCTTGCAAACAGGACGTGCTCAAAAACACTGGTATTTACGAGGTTTCGTTGCCGTCGATCCACAGCCGCGGCAAGGTCTAAGGCCACGCTTGAAGACAGGAGGAGCTGAAAACACTGGTATTTACGGTATTTTGTAGCCGTCGATCCAAAGGCGCACCACGGTTGAGCGCTGGAAAAGCGCAGAAAACCGTGTAAATACCAGCGTTTTCTGCCGGGAAGGTGCACAAAACCCTGTAAATACCATAGTTTTGTGCAATTTTGAAGCCTCCAAAAGCCTCAAAAACCCTTTCTGACAAAATCTTTCCTGGTTTTTGGTCTTTTTTCGGTCATTTTTCTAACCGAGACGCATCAAAAACCATCGGTTTTGGGGTGGTTTTTTGCCGGACAGCCACAAAAAAACCTGTAAATTCCATGATTTTTGGTCACTGCTGAGGACTGGAAGAGCTGAAAACACTGATATTTACAGTGTTTTCGAACGGTTGACCCCGAGGCGCGCTAGGGGGGAGTTGAAAGGGGGGGGGGGCCCCCCCCCCCCCCCGGCCAGCAAACGAAGATGTCGGGGACCATTTCTCCGAGAGATAGGCTGCAGCTCTGGGTCAATACATTTTTGCTAAAGCAAAAGGAAAACTCAGGTAGCGTAACCGCTACCTTTCGTGATCTTTTGATCTGCATGGATAGCGGATAGTGCATTCTGATTTGTACTCTTGGGTTGTGGGGTGGGTACATGCCTGTACAAGCTTCTTAAGGATATATAATGAAATTAGCATCGTTTCACGACTCAGAGGGAATGCAACTACTCTCGATTCTAACGAATAGGCTTTCTTCAGTTCTTCAGCTCTTCAGCACCAACAGCAGCCAACAACCCCAAACAGCAACAGCAGCAAAACGGAGCAGACAACAAGCAGCAGGCAGCCATGCAAGCAGCAAGCAGCAGCAACCAGCAAGCAGCCAAGAGCATCCAGCAGCACCAAGCATGCAAGCAGCAAGCAGCAGCAAACAGGAAGCAGCCAAGAGCCAGGCGCAGATGAGATGCCAGCAGCAGCAGCAGCAGCAGCAGGTACCGAGGAGGAGAAGGGTGGAGTTGAACCCCGCGAGGGGGGGGGGTTCTAGTCCTGATATATCAGGTAATAGCACTCAAGTCCTGGGCTCCCACCCTCCTTGCTAAGGCAAGACAGACTCCAGCTAGCTACAGCTAGCTTTCGTGACTTCATTCACAAAAACCTTCAGCCTAGCTTACCGGCTAGCTTTGCAATAGTTGACATTGAATACAAACACATCCAAAAAGCGCGCGCTCAAGTTGAACCGTTCTTCCACAATCGTGACCCTTAAGCTGTATGATGTGTAGACTTAAAGTTTTGTTGATGACATAATTTAGCTCATTACATTCTATTCAGCTCTGGCAACCTGGGATGCAAACTTCGACTGACATTTGCATTTTTGTTGATGTCCCCTTTTGGGGTTTCCCTTTGCTTCGCCACCTGGGCCTTGCTCCGATCCGCAGAAAGTGGACATCGGTGAGCTACACATGTTGCATTTCCGTCCGCGGGCCATGTTCCGCCGCGCGAAGGGTAGGTAGATAAGCCTACGCAGGCTGCGTGGGTACCTTACCTAGCCTGTTACGAAAGGAAGCTGCTTCATGAAAGACAGAGAGCCAGAACACCAATGTTTGTCGTGGCTGCACAGCGGACCACCAAGTGTGGCGACGCGTCAAACTACTTGTGTTTATGAGCGCATACCACTACCAGGGACACGGTCTCAAGTCCAAGAGATGATGTTGTAACAGCTCAAAGTGTTTTCTTTAGGCGCCCCCCCCATCGCTCTTAGGTTGGAGGCCATCACTATTCAAGAAAAGACACAGAAACACGTGCATTCCCCCATGCACCTCAGGAGCGCAAAGCGACAAACTCGCATGGCAGGCAAAACTGCTGGTCTCCATCACTATGGGTAAATCCATGATGATCTCCACAACAGACTCTGCCTCTGGCATGAAAGCTGAAGAATTCAAGTCACGCCATTCTACCTTTGGAAATCATCTGAGATAAGTCAACGTGAATCAAAGGCCACCCTTGAGTAATTATGCGACTCGGGGCAAAAAGAACTACAGAATCTACACAGCAAGTCGTGGCAACGTGTGCCCCTACAAGCAGCCAGCCTGCAATGTAACCCTGCTCGATGTGTGCCTTGGGGCTTCTAAATCTTCCAAACTGCTTGGATCAGATCCGCAGCCAAGAGACTCTGAAATGCAGAGCGGCCCAGCCGTGTGTGACAAATGAACGCCTGAGGTTGCACAAAAAGTCCAAACAAAATCAACTTGATCTGTCGACAAACTCAACAATCTGCTCAATGATGGGCTTCAGCTCTCTGTTCAGCCCAGGTTGAAGACACAGACACAACTGTTCATCGAAAAAGTGATGAGTTCTTTGGCCTGCTGCAGGCTGTGCTGGTTCAGAACTTCTTGGCCTCGTTACACCGAGATCAAACTCACTTTGGCAAAACCTGTGCCTGTCCGGGACTCTGCCACAGCTTGGTTCCCAGCAACTGAGGTGGAAGAGGCATAGTTGGCAATTCACCCAAGGCCATCATAGGGTCGGGGGTCTCCACTGAGTTCAATGCAATGCTCATGGCCTCACAATATGTTGTTTCCTTCTACGATCGGTTGGCGCAACTTCCTCGTCAACCAAAGTGTTAGGCAAAAACAACAACCATGAATTGGCACGTCCATGTCTTGCTGCTGCCAAGTGACCTCAAGCCTATCTCCTGGGTCAGCCACCAGTTGCCCTCCTTTCATATCAGACGCCAAGGGCATAGAGCTTCTTCCATCTGCGGAAATCTCCATCGCATAGCTTTCTTTCTCCCCTGTATCGAACACATAGTCCAGGAAAGGCTGCGTAAGCGGACCATCTCGAACGATGAGGTCGTCCGGATTTCCCCCAAGGCTTGTCGTAATTTCCTTCAGACTCACTACATCTGGCGAGCATCTCGGCAGCCCTTCGCGTCCGTCCTCCTCATCTTTTCCTTCATGAGTGACCAATGAGATTGACACTTCGCGTCCGTTGATCCGATATCGGCCTTGCGACTTCCGGATGATAGTGTTATCCTCCAGAATGGTCGGCCAACTCTCGCAAATCTGATGAATCTCCTGGTCAATGATGTCCCGGGGAAAGAAACCCGCAAGAGCATCGTCCCTGGCACGAGGCACGGGGAGACAAGCGGGATTCATTCTGTAGCCTGACATCATGAATGCACGAACCTTGCAAGGCATTCAAGTACAAGCATTGAAACTAGAGTGATATTGGTGCTGCATCTTCGATCCCGCCTGTGCATCACAAGAGGGACTCAAAGTTCTGCCAAGAAGCCTGCAAAAAGACTGGAAACATGTAAAAAAACTGTCAAAAGACTTTCATGGGAAGAAGTCTGAATCCGGATCCAAAGCTTTTCAAAAAGTGTGCAAAACAGTATTCATTGAGTTGAGTCCCTCCTGAAAAAGGAGTGTGCAAAAACAAGACTCATGAGCAACGATGCAATAAGAAAACACTTCAGCGATCCTGAAGCAATCATGTCGTCCAAGCGCAGCAAAATCTCAGCGCATTCATGCTGCAACCCCTTCGCCCCAATTGCTTTGTGTAGAAGGGACGTATCGAAGCTACTACAAAACTGTGTATCGAAAACATGGGCAAACGGCCCCTATGTTCCTGGTATGCACTCCTGCAGCAGTTCAATCATCCAAATGGAATTCAGCTTTTGGAGGGACAAAGCAACGTGATCGAATTTTGTCGACCGCGCCTTGCCCTTGAGCCTACACCCAGCTTGCCAGAAACCTAACGCTGACCTGCTCAATTTATGATGATCGATGTTCTGATGCAAGGTGACAAACTGATCCAAATTGTGTGCCCGAGGTGCTTCGTTATTTTCCACGCTTTTCTTTTGCCATTGCGGTGAAACAGCAAATGTTCACCATAGCACCGCAGCCTTCGTCTTGTCTCCCTGCAAACCTTAGTCATCAACGGCTTGGGCCGAATCAGATCCTTCAGCCGCCCCGAGCCACACAAACACCAAGTAGATCAACACTCTTTGCTAGCTTTAAGTTTCCCGGGTCCCTAAATATCTAGACAACAAATGAATATTGCGCGTGCTTCTTCAAGGAAGCTCCCCCCCGCCGCCTTTAGGGCTGCGGGGGGAGCTTCTTGAAGAAGCGTGAGCTATCCTGCGTCCAGTAGGTAGTAGCTTACTTGTAGGCACTAGCGACTCCCTAGCTAACCTACCTCTTCCCTCTATTAGCGGCCTACCCCCCCTTAACAAAAATCTTCACTGCAGGTCCCATACGCCTTCCGGTGTTGCCTTTTTTCTATTTCAGCGCTGCCAAGTTATCCTAAAATACGGATACCAGAGGATCCAAGAGCACGCGTTTGGCTACTTGCCCGACACATGTCATGAGAGTTAATCCACAGGCAACGCATGCTTACATCTTCGAAGACTCTCCCCAAAGACTACCTCTCAGTTCAGGTGGTCTTGCATAACTTCACATGCCCTTGCAAGGCCTTGCGCGAAAGGGCAATACTCCGCATAGGCGCCGCAAAGCCTACCTCTGCTACCTCTGCGCACCGAGCCTTCCTTTCTGGTTGGTCCGGCGAAGCCGGGAAGATGCGAAGCCAATTTATAAAAGGACACTACTGACACTACTGATCTCTTGGGTCTATACGTGACCTCTGTCCAGAGCTACATTTTTCCTTGCAGCAAATGAATTCGCCTCAACATGTTCTTGGCATGTCACGCAATGCAAAACGCATATCTCGAAAATCAAGCAATGCTCAAACGTATTCCAACTCCTCATACAGCCAAAAGCGCATAGTAGGCTTCCACTTGATCGAAAATATAAAATGGCAACTCTCTCGGAATTGATCGTCCAAGGGCTGGACAAATTAAATTACTGCTGTTGTACCCTCCTCCTCAATTGCAACCGCCCCATCCTGACGGCAGGTCTTGAGTCTTGAGATGCAGCTACTTCTCATATGTTCGATACGCGTGAAAGAAAATTCCACCTCAAGCACTTTCAGGACAACAGCCTGGCCCTAATCATGCCAATATGCTTCTACGGTTCCAAATTCCGAATGCTGGAAGTTCCAGGTATTAGGCATGTCAGCCTGCCGAAATTCGATAAGTTCAAAGGACTTTAGTCCCAAGCGCACTGCCTACTCGAAAAGCGTTTGTGGGGCTTGCAGCCCACGCAATTGGTTCATAGCTTTATCCCATGCCAAAGTACTCGGAAAGACTAGATGTCTCACTCATAAAAATTGAATATGATCCGTGTTCGATGCACGCCTGCCACTGAATGTCCTTTCCAAAATAGAAGTTTTTAGTCCAGCGAATTTGATGAGGTTGTAATATGATGTATTAGGTTGTAATTGGTAGCCTTTCGCTGCATGATGTGATCTAATCTTGACCCACTGAAATAGGTGAATAAGATGCGGAAAATCAGATCCTTAAAGATGTAACCTGCTTCGTTGTTTGCTTTTAGGAATCTGTCCCCAAGACAGGTTCAAGTCAAACACGTACGTTTGATTTCATGCTTTTGATACGACCGTGCTCAAGCATTTTTGAACACAACCCTTTCCCACGTTGGTTACTGACATCCACCAATTGTATGCTATTGTCATCGATTGCTTCCAACAACAGGTCAAAGAAAAAACACTTGAATGGTCAGATGATTCACACAAACCTTTTGTTGGGGGTCCGACCCAGGATGTTTGATTCCGTCCGCAACCGGATGCTCAATGCACACATGTCCTTATGTTCACTTCGGAAAAAAAAAAGAGCTATGGTCCTGCAACGCCGGCCGCTCTTCTGAACGCTTGCGGCTTCGGCTTCGGGAGCGTTCTCTTCGCTTCCTATCCCGGCTTCTGCTCTTTCTTTTCCTGCACAAGTCTGCGAAAACATCATCCCTGGAAACTCCTCAGTTGAAACCACGAAACAATGAAACCCAAGTGAAGAAGCTAAGTCCACAAAAATGTCGAGGAGGTTTAAGATATATGTTCCAGGTTGAGAACGTGAATAGCAGGGGAGGTCAGGGCAGGCAGAGTCCGGCAGGAAGACGTGCGAAGGGCAGGACAGCTCGAGTTCGAAGAGTTGGGGAAGGGGCAAAGTGGAAGTCAAGCAGGAAGTCAACGTGGCGAGATCAGGCGAGGTCTGGAGGTTCTGCACATCTTTCCACTTCCCCACCTCACGGCTTGGGCGTGCCAAAGCTATCACCAAAAGCATCTTGAACACTTATTCCATGACATGTGATAGGAAAAGAGGTCATCTGCCAGTTGAATAGAGTGTTGTAGCAAGCCCAGGCGGGCACCCCATAGAAGTATTATTCCACCATGTGGTGCACGTTCCTGCAACAGAAAACGTGCGGATCCAACTGCGGAACCCACTTCCTTTAGCCCTGCTTTAACAATGTACATCCTGGCTGGCGCGACTTCTAAGTCGCTTGTTTCACTACAGTATATATGTTGTCTGAGGGCCCGTTACACCTACAATGTCTGAAAGAAAATACACCGAACAGCAAACACACACAGAAGCCTTTAAAGGCCACATTTCCTCCATAACTGCGATGCACGAATTGCAAACGAGGGACCGATCTCTTTCCCGGCTTCTTTCTCGGTCCTGTCCAGACACTCACCGACTCGACACTTGACAGAACTGTGGTACCACCAGGCTGACGAGAACACGTGCAAAGAATATGCATGATTTCAACATTAAGTGAATGATTCATATAAGGGCCAACAACAAGAACAAGAACAACACAATCCTAGCAAGTGCCTTCAACTTTGCTGCACATGCTGTGATTTCTGTTGCGGGCAACCCAACCTTCAAATGTTGGTTGTCACGTCCACGCCCCGTGACACACATCTACGTAGATGTGGTTGATATGGAGTGTGTGCGAGTGTGTGTGTACATATATACCTCTCTCGTCGGACTGTCTGCGTCGACGGTATGGATGACACTCTGGTCATAACCATACGCTTGAACCCCACATGCAGATTCGCAGTGAGTCAAAACCTCAGCCAAGGTGTGAAAAAGAAGAGAGGGGAGCGCTGTGAGCGGCGCGTTTTTCGATGAACATGAGCATTTTTCAACCTTTTTCATGCGTTTTCTTGAGAATGATTGATGTGTCTGACATTGCCTGGAAGGATCTGCCTGGAAGCGCCCAGATGTTATTCAGTAAGATCGGTCAAGAAACCTACAGTGATTATGAAAAAAAAGAACCAAAATTGGAATGATAGAATGAATGACTTTACAAGAAACTTAAATGATCACTGTAAACAACATAGAACACTATATGCTGAAGAGAAAAATATAGCAAACAAGGAGAAGATAGAAGACCGCAGGGGCTTATGGAATGCCTATTCATCACCAAGTGTTTTTTACAAAACAAGTAAGACTTTATACATAAGTGGCACAGGTGGTTGTGATGGATCTTTAACAAGGGATATTATGGATGATCTGTTATTAGTACCTACTAGAAATGTTCATCACAGTGAGAAATACAAACATGTTATAGAAGAATTGGAAAAGTCACCAGAAATAACCCGTTTGGTTGGGCATAACCTTGCAAGTGCTGTAATAAGATCAATCAAGAACAACCTAATACATTTGCTACAACAACCTATGCTACCCCTACAATAAAAACAAAAAGGAAAGGAACAAAAGTCCCAAAAGACTTGACTACCTCAATCCATCCGATATTGTTTCAATGTTGGATGGTTACGCTGTAACTTCTGATTTGAAAGAACCTAACCCTTTAATGAGCCACAGCTATATCAATTTTGAAGGGAACGGCCTTTGGAACATCAATCCCGGCACCAATATAAGCAATGGATTTAACCCCAATCACTCATTTAAAAAACAACATTTAAACTTAGTTAAAATATGTAATGTTATGGTGGATTACTCCAAGGCAAAATTTTACAGAATACTAAATGACAAAATGACGATGTCTATATTGGTGCTACTTGTCAGCCATTGAGTGTTAGAATGGCAGGACATAGAAGGGGGCGGAATGGCAAAGATAAGAAACATTACTAATTGTTATCACACAATCACCCAAACATTCAATGCTGGTGGTGGTGAAATATGAATATTGTAAAATCATCTTCTAAACTGACTGGAGCATTCATTACCTTATTTAGAACTCCAAGGAGTGGTGAAGAACTGAACCGATACTTACCTGACAATTATGTATATAAGAGATGGAATTAATCCTATGATCTATGGAAGAATTAATGATACTGGTAATGCTGATACAAATGACTTACAAGGTACAAAGGTTTTCAAGATGCCACCCGTAGTTTAAGTTGGCAAATTCAATTAAGCAATTCCCAGTAATACACAGAGTTTGAAGCGCAATCATTATCATAAATCTTTTACTATTTAAGAAGAGCTATACAGTACATGACAGTTTAAGTTTTTCGTATCGTCAATACAGAAAGAACAAATTCATTATTGGTATGTCATTTGAAAAAATTGCAGATGTCAATTTTACTGGTTATAATTCTAAAATGTCAGGTATTACCAATTTTCGGGTTAAAGGAGCAGAAGGAGCATTATTAGACCCTAATGAACAAATCGCTGAGGGTTTCAGAGACTGTTCTGGAATTGAGAGAAAGTGGTAGTATTGTCTACTTCCAAGGAAATTGAAAATTTAAAACATCCCAGGAAATCAAAAAATCCAAAATTCCAATTTTCCAAAAAAACCAAAGAAACCAAAAAAACCAAAAAACAATTCTGCACAGACCATGGGGGGAAGAGGGGGTGAGGCAAAGTCCTGGCACAATTGTTTTTTTGGTTTTTTTGGTTTCTTTGGTTTTTTGGAAAATTGGAATTTTGGAAATTGCCTTTAGAATAGTATTCTTTCAGTGGCACAAAAATCAATAGAAACGCAATACAAATATAGAAACAAAATACAAACAAAATGAAACAATGCAAAAACGCGCCGAGCGCTCCTTTCTGAAAAAGAAATACGCCAGGACCCGATCGTTCGACCGGCCCCAACGTGAAGAGTCTGTGCAAGATTCAACAAAGTACCATGGTCCAAGAAAGGTGCAGCCTTGACGATGGCGCTAGGGCTCAACGTTCTGCCCAATGATTTGACAAAAGTTGCATGGAACATCCCAGGGCACGGCTGAGATGAATCATCCTTTAGTAGGAACTGAAATGCTTGCCTGATTTTGCATGCGACTTCATGAATGGTGACTTCCGAATAGTCCCCATGCAAGCGAAAACCAGCAGTATGAAATGCTAGTGCCAGTTCGGAGAACGCCACACTTAAAGAATCATCTTGTCTCCACCGGAGCTGCTGAGCCCACTGACAAATGGTCCTCCAATCATCCAGGGAATGCCGCCAACGTTTCGGCGGTGGAAGCAGCAGCGGAATCTTGGGTTTCCACTTGAACTGTCTAATATGGGAATGCCATGGCCACTGCGGAAAGGTCGTTTGGGCATCTGCAAGTGTTAAACGCGTTTCAGCGGTTAGTGCAGCAGCTTGGTGTGAAGGATGAATACAGTCTGTTGTATCCAACATCCCATGTATACGCACAAGCCATCCTTGATGTTGTTTGGCCGCATGCAAGAGATTAGCGCCGATCTCCGGATAGATCGGGGCAATTCGGGCTGCACACTCTTTCGCAACTCTGTCTGCTCGTCTGTTGCGGATGACGTGCTCAATTGTAGTTCCAGCTGCATGAGCCTGGGCTGGACTTATTTGCCAAGGTTCCAACTCCTCAAAGCAGTGCGCAGGAATCCACGTAATGCTAAAGGGACATGGACGGCGATGACCTCGATCAATGAGGACGTGAAGAATGGCGCGCCACCAATCCTGGCGTTGCCAATTGGGTTGTATTGTTCCCTTGCGCAAGAGCCAGTGAAAGTTACTCGCAACCGCTTGGTTATCACAGTAGACCTGCGCTGGTCCGTCAGCAGTAGATAGAGCAATCCAGGTTGCCCATAATTCTGCTGGAAAGCCTCCATTGCCGAACACGTCCACACTGCAAAGTGGCGCCGTCCTTCCGAATAACCGCAAATGCTGGTGGTGAGCCAATGGTGCGACTGAAAAAGTACAGAGCCGTCAGTCCAAACCTCGGCAAACAGGTGCATCAGGATTGAAAAGTTCTGCAACAGAAGGATCAGCCAGGTCAAACTGCAGGCGAAACTGGCTGAGTCGCTTGGGGTGTTCAATGATCCCAAGCAGTGGCCAACTCATGCACAAGGTGATGGAGTGTTTCTTTGCACGCATCACAAAATCTACAGTTACTGGTCTGAGTCCACCCAGCTGCGAACAGCCTGTCACGTGTGAGTGTGCGTCCAACAATTGTGGACTCGGCACGGACTTTCGATGTTGGAAACCCTGATGTTTCGAAAGTTGGCTTCCGCAGGAACGCTGTTGAAGCATACATGTCAATCAACCCTTGAGGCTTGAGAAAGTCTTTACGTTGCGAACAAAAGGCTTTTTCATAAACAGCTTGGTAAATGAATTGCCGAAGGGTGGCAGCAACATCTTGCGGGGCACATCTACCAAGAGGAAGAAAACCCGAATCAGCAAAGCTAATGGGCAAATCAGAGTTAACTTTGATCCCAAGAGCCGTGCGTGCCTCATCATAGGCTTGGACCAGTGAAAACTTCAAGTGCTTGCGCTGTGGCCACAGAGAACACATGTACTGTGTGGCCGCATGGTTGTTGAAGCAAAACCGAAACAAGTCAATGATGGTGTTGTATGCGGCAGCAAAGAATGGGTCAGTTCTGTGTGGTTCGCCGTGTGGATCGCACCATGGGGCGACCTCTCCAAAGGACACGAACAATAGCCGCCTGAATTTTGCGGAGTGATTGCTTGGGAATTTTGGAGATGTGAGCTCCATAGGTAATCATGGGGATGGCCTTTGCACCAATCAAGAAAGAACGAACTTTGGTGGGGAGCGGAAGGGCACCAATAACCTCGATAGTATTACAGACCTTATCAAGGGATTCCTCCGAAAAGCCGAAATCATCCTTGTTGGTTGTGTAAACACGAACCCCCAAAGTGTCAAGGGAGTGGGCGAGTTTCATATCCGGAAAAGCCTGCTTGATTGAGGATCTTGCAAGCCTGGTGGTGCCCCAAATGATAGACTTAGACTCATTGAGTTTCTGACCGTTGAGTTGGTCCCAGAGCCGAGTGACTTCGACAGCCTGTTGGAGGTCAGCGATTGCTTGAATGCGGCACCACAAATAGGCATCATCGATGTACGCCCGGATGGTTATATCTGGCAAATGGGGCAACAAGTGGAACCAAACTTTAGTATGGAGGTTTATCGCAATTAAAGACAGCGAACACCCCTGTGCAACCCCATTCGGGGCGGTGGTGGGTGTGGGGCTTAGCCAACCTTTATAGCAAATGCGTCGACGCAATCTCTTATACAGTTTGGCAAACGTGTTGACAACACCTTTGGGTAGGCCAAAAGCCAACATTAGAGCGCAAGTGTGGCTAGGGATTATCCTGTCGAAGCATTTGGCTTTGTCGAGTTTGATGCCAATCAGGCCTTGGTCTTGGCTGTTAGCAACATCGAGGTCAAGGCGCAGTGCCGTATGGAGTTGTGGCATAGTGCGTCCTTTGATGCCTCCTATGATACCTTCCGGCATGGTGCAACGTTGCCATTCCTGCAGCTGCTCACAGCGTGCACCAGTGTAGGAAAGAATGAGCGCCGGCAAGATGGTGATCAGGCGCTTGTTCATGGCATCAGCCGGGCCAGGTTTATGAAGGATTATCTGCTTTATTAGTGCGTGTCAGCAAGGCAGGGAGGTCGTCCCCATAAGTATTCTCGGCCCACTGAAAGAACTTGGCGGCGGGAACGAATGCCAGAAATGGGGAGGGATTGCAACTCGAGCGTCCTCCACCCATCTAGGCCCGGAGCAGCCTGGGGTTTACGCCTATGGATGACTCTGAAGATGGCTTTAGCATCGATGTCAGGGAGATCCGCTTGAGTCACCTGAGAATGAACATACGGCCAGATCGTTTCGAGCATTTTGAGGGGATGCTCGTGTAGGGTATTGGCTGCATACACGGTGTCCCAATTAGAATTGAGGGTATCCATAGCAAGCCCCGGCTGGTATTGGATATTTCCTATCTTGAACAAGGTTGGGAGGCTCATCATGCATTTTATTTCGGAGGTGGTGGAAGATGTAAGTCTTGTTGGTTTTACCAGACTGCTGAAGTTTCTGTTTCCAAGCTTGGATGCGAAACGTCTTTGTTTGCAGCTCATGAGTACGAATAGCATCATGGACCCAATTTCTAGCAGCCGAAATGTGCACCAACATAATGAAAGACACATCAACCCATGGCACCGGTGCTTTCAGTGTCAGCAACGCACGGGTGATCTTCTGGTGGGTGAGGCAAAAGATGAAATGATCCTGGTCCGATCTACACCCTCTAGAACGACGGATGGCCAGTTCATCAAGCCTTGCCAACAACTTATGAAGGGCTGAACCTTTACGAGTCGCCGCGCAATGAATGCGGTGTTGCGCAGGGCAAATGGTCTTAGCAACAAACTTGGGAGGTTTGGCACGCTGACGAGGTCCTGAGACCCACTTGGCACCAATAGCCAACATCTGCTCAATGCAGTACTGATTAACAAGGTCCCACTTTTCATCAGGGTTGGAGGAATGTTGGAATTGTGAATCCCACAAAGCATCCCAGTCAGGGGCAACCGGCAAAGGTGCATCAGGGTGACCTTGAGCTTTGGTGGGAAGATTTTGTTTGGGAATATCAGACAAGTCAAAGGGTGCAAATTTATAATGGACAAAGCCAACCTGGGCAAGGGCTTTCCAAGAAAATGTGCATTTGACTGGTCGGTGCTGCTTACCGAAAGATTCAAGAACCTCACAACTCACTAACGCGGCGGCTGCCGGTTGGTTTAAAAGAATGCCATCAATGGAAGAACAGCCCTCCCCTGGTCCACTAAAGAGGGAATCCCGAGAGAATGTGAGCGGGCGCTGAATGGCACCATCGTCACCTACGCCAGACAGCGGACCCAACCATCCCTGAAAATTGACGGCGTTCGAAATGGAGCCATACGAAAGTCCCCGGCTACAATGACCGGAATGTTACCATATTGAGCAGCAATTTCAAGGCTGATGCGCAAGAGGTGCCATCGCCTGAGCGTTTGTGCAAGTGCCAAGAGGCCTTCTGGTGGTTGCTCCTGGGCCCATTGCTGGTTGGCTTGAAACCAAATGTTGTTAAATCTCAGTGCAGTGCCATGAAGCAAGAAATGTTGCCGCCCATTGGCTCCAAGGTCAGACCTCAACTTCTGGATAAGCGGAAGCAGCCTGGCAACCGCGTTGGGCGGCGTTGTCAGGAAGAACAAGAGCTGCCCACCCGCACGGTAGCACTCCGCCTGAATCCAGCGATTGCCATCCGCAATCAACGAGATGATGTGGTTGTAGTTCATCAAGTTCGGCGGCAATGCATTGAGGTAGTACAGTGTTTCGGATGGCTCATGCCAGGTGGCTGGTTGACAGAAGACGGTCTCAGGTTGAAGAGATCTGGGTGCCTCTGACGCAAAGTCGAGCTCGTCTGACGCCGCCCAGCCAGGGTGAGTCTGGTAGCTGGCTAGCTTGGTGGCAATCCGGTCAATGATCTCATGGCAATACGCGACAAAGGGTTGTCGCGGGATCGGACCAAGCTGAGGTCTGGAATGGGCTGGGAAGGCTGTGATCAGTGGCTTCTGGTTGGTGATGCCAACCTGGAGGACTCTACGAGCCAATTTCTGAGAAAAAATGCCTTCTGAGCCGAGCTGCAAGGGACCACACCGGTTGTTCTGCTTCGGCCGCAAGCCAATCTTCAATAGAAGCTTGTATGAGCTGTTCAATCTGATCACGAAGCTCTGGTGATGTGACTGGTCTGTCCTCGTGTGCAGCAATAATGGTGTCTTGCATGCCTTGTGCTGTGATCCATCGGTAAAGCAGGTGCCCAAAGATGGTGATTGAGACCTGGGTTGTACCATCTGTAGGAGGCGATGGTAGCAATTGGAAGAACTTGTGGCAACTGTCGTAATGGATAATGTGAACCCAGTCGTCAACATGGAGAACAACCGCATCGTGGGCTGTCAGTCTGCGGTGCCAGCAATCACGGATGAGGTTGATGATGTCAATCCGCTGGCCAAGGATGGCCTGAAATGCAACCAGAAGCCCCAACATGGCGTGCGGAACAGCAATCGCTTTCCCAATGAAAGTGAAGGCTGCGCCAGTCTTGGCAGGAAGGAGCTGATCTTCAATGGCACCCAGGAGTGCAATGAAGCGTGCTGGATCGAAGAACGCGATTCCAAGTGGTTGCATCTGGAGGAATGCATAGATGCCGCCCTTGTCTGCCAAGTGCTGTTTGCTGAGGTTGTGTTGCTCAGTGTAGGCCGCACAAAGTGTGGGTAGCGGCTCTTTGTCGGAAGGAATCCTGGAAGCCAGGATTTGTGCCGAAAGTGCTGCCGCTTGTGAGGTGGCAAGTACTCAATGTTGCCATATACTCCTTCTCGGACTCGCTAAGCAGAATCTGGTTCTGCCATGACCTTGGTAGAGCAAACGTGTATTCCGCTTCATCCCAACTTGGACGCGGGAAAACGGATGGGCTGACAGTTGCATCGAATGGACAGGCTTTGACATCGGAGCGAATCCACACGCAAATCCAACGTCTGCGGACATGTGGTGACAATTGGTGGAGGGGAGTAACCTGAGACCATACTCTTCGGTACCCAAAACGATGTGCGATGTTCAAAAGCAACTCGTAGTGGGGGTGCGTAGACACTTCGTCCGCGCACTCCGCCACCAAAATGATGGGCTGACACACGAATGCAAGCTGGAGGCCTTCTACGAATGCAAACCCATTGGCAACCGATAACCCTTGACGACGTCCCCCACGTGACCAAGATTGGCACGGTGGGCTGAGTGTGTGCAGCAAATTGAGTTGAAATTGGGATACATTCATGATGGAGGTGTCTCCAACTTGTCCATGGATCTGCAACCTGTCTTTCGGGCTCCAGGGAACAAATGGCGAGATTGGGCTCGTCAGTACCTGCTGGCCAGATTTGGCAGTCCACAGCTGTGCTACCTCCGCCGAGGCATCAACTTCAACTTGTTGAGTGAAGTTGACCTGCAAGGCACTCTTTGAAAGCCCAGTGATCGCCTGATGCCAGCCTGCAACGGCGCCCGCAAACTGATGCAGGACACTCCATGACAACTCTTGGCAATGTTCCGGTCGTGGACACACTGAAGCCTGCTGGTCAAAAACAATGCAATTCGATCTTTCCGAAGGCAGTGTCTTCCCCAGGCAAATAAAGTAGGCCCCCACAAACATGTTGATCGGTCGCAAGGAGAGGCTTGGAATGAACACTTCAGTCAGGGATGTCCCAACATCGTTCAAAGCAAATCCTTGCCCCGGGGTGAACTTGAAGAGCATAGGTTCACTCCGGAGAGGAGCAACCCCTACCCCGGGGGGTCCGAACCCCACAAGACCCTAGGTTTGGGCCAGAGGGTCTGTGTGTGTGTACATATATATATATACTGTACACATATTATGTACTTATTGATGTGTTGTGACATGGTTAGCTTGTCAAACCAACTCATGTAACCTATCTGGCCTGCCACAAGCTAAGCCTGAAGACTTTGGTGGTGTCTGCGCCCAACACGACGGCAACTAAAGCTCGAGCTGAAAAGGAGATGCTAAGGGCCCAGGGCCTTTTAAAAATTCAATACGACCAACCCTTATGAAAGGGGTCCGACCTTGTTTTTACATTTTTTTACTAGTAAACAAGGGCATCGCTACTAGTAACAAGGTCTCCTTTCTTTTGCAGATTTTTTCCACTATAAAACGCGATGAACCAAAGGTGACAAATTGAGCGGGGGTTGGCAGCGTCTTCATTGGCGCAACTGGTCGCCTTTTCGTCTTACGCCTTGCAGGGTTGCTAAACCTAAGTACAAACCTGTATCTTGACGTTGACAATTTGGTCTCCCGCCATCTGCAACAAAGGGTTAAAGATGGTAAAAGCAAAGTGTTGCCTGAAATCCATGAATGATGAGATCGCTTCAGCTTCAGCCTGCTCGTTTAAGAATATTGACTTATATGTGACAAACAGCAACTTATGTTGGGACTATTTCTGCTCGGTCCTTGCAATTGGTTCCATCCCATGACTCCATGACACACTCCATGCAAAGTCCGTACAAAACTCCAGCTGGTACTTTCATTATTTTAGTAATCCCGCCTTGGCTTTTTTGTCTTTCTCCCTGAGTAAAGTGCGTTCTGGAGAAAAGAACTCGCAGCCTAGCATCTTCCGGCCTCTCACGCTCTCTGTCGTCATTCCTCCGGGAACCTCCCGACGCCTTAGCTGGTTTGAGCAACAAAAGTACTCAGCTGGAATGTGTCTCTTTGTCCCCAGACTCGATCCATCAGCGCACGGGAGCCACCCATATCAAGATCGCGCCGACCTTTTCCACCTCCATCACGTGCCTGGAAGACAGAAAGTGTCACCCAGTCATTCTTTGCATCCTCCTGCTGTCGCACAAGCACCTTTCTATATTGTTCTAAAGGTTGAAAGCTTTTCTCAGGCGAGGATTGCAATAAGGCAGTAAGTAGTAAGCTACACTGAGAATCTGGCTCCTCCTTTTCCACCACCTCTCATTTGAGCTCGCATCAAATCCCGGGACCTCAAGTAAAGATCAAACAGCAATAATATGGAGAGAGACTCAAAAGCTTTGATCCCGGGCGTCATAAGGTTGCTTCCCCTTGCTTCGAAATCTCTGCTATCTTGTGTCCTGCAGCAGTTTGGGCCACGTCAAGCTTTGCACCAACGAAATGCATCAGGAATAGCCTTGAGTTGCATGTAGAATGCTCACGACTCAACTTCACAAACAGACTCCCACCACTAGTCAATGTTGCATGCCCCCAACATGTACCGTGTGTCTCATGTGTCTACCGTGTGTCTCGCCGTATGACACTAACCCAGCCACCTTGCGGGCGCCATTCGCCACTCCGCTTTCAGAGCTACGCCATCCTCAGCCCAATGCACGGTCTGACATAACGATTCGACAAATGCAACGGTGGTTCTGATGATCAAATACTCGGGACAAATCAAAATTCAGTGTGCACCCACCAGTACCATAGACACCAGAACTGAATCTTGAGAAACTTATGCAAATATGTGTAACCTTACAAGTACACCACAAGCGGTTCGGTTGCCCAAGCCATGCCTGTTCGCCAGAACGAGTGTTCTGGATTGTTCTGGAATGTGAGGGTGTCTGTGGAGATTGGAGAAGTATGGATCAGTTGCACTTCTTCAAGTCACCATAATTCACAGCGCTTCCCCCACGCACTTCCACTTAGAGGTGTTACCTTCTGGTAGAAGAAGTATGAAGACGTACACAATGATGAAGACTCTGTATGCCCGAAGCCGTGAAAACAGTTCAAACACACATTGCGTTAAAACTCTGCACAAACTCGTACAATGTATGCAAACGTCCAAAACCTACTGCACATCTTTTGCCTACGCAGTCCTTGAGAACGCCAACAGTGAAGTTGCTTGTGAAAAACGGATGAACCAGTGACCGCCGTTGCCATTGCGCAAAGAAGTGGTGGGAAGGTGGCAACAACAAAAGGTTGCAAAGTAAATGAATGATTCACAGCCTGCAGAAAGAAATAGTACTATTACAGCATTACCGTATGTGTCACCAAATCTGTTCATCTCAAAATTAACGTGTTGCACTCCCAGAACTGCGACATTGAGGGTGCCCAAATGAGGTTTGTAGATTGGAGGCCATTATGAGCTTCCAGCCACGGTTGGAAGCTGGAAAATCTTTCACAAGTAGTTTCTCAGTTCTTTGGGGTAAGCAAGTTGTGCTGGTAAGAGGTGAAGCCCCGCAAGTTGGCTCAAAGCACTGAGCTATATAGCTAAACTGAGAACGCTGCACCCATCAAGTTAGCCAAGAGGTAAAACAAGTTGTTGAGCTAGTTAAACGGGAACGCTGAGCCAGCCTTGGCGGTGAATAAGTGACTGGAATGGGTTTAGTGATAGATTGGTTGAAACAGGTGAACCTACTGATCGGCAAAGCTTCAAGAGCTGGAAATAGGCGTTAAGCTACTAGGAACAAGAGGATGCTTCTAGGGGCTCCTGGCCTTACTACTAGGAGCAAGAACGCTACTAGGGGCTCCTGGCATCGCTACTAGGAGCAAGGACGCTACTGGGCGTCAAGCCAGCGAGAATTTCTACATTCCGTTGCTTGAATACAAGCCATTGAGGAAGGGGCCAGAAACAACTGACCAGCTTGAGAAGCTTCATAGGCGGCCTGAAGCTTCATGCTAAAGCTGGCACGCGCACACGCACACACACACACACATGTTTTGCATATCGCCTGCGCGGCTTTGGTGGTGCCAAATTTCACATACCTTCAAAACATTTCAAAAAGCTTTGCAATCCTTTCTTTAACATCTGAGCTCTTTGTTTAAACCAATCTCGGCGCACGCTCGCTCATTGCTGCGATGTTCCAGCGGTGGTATCCAACACGCCGTGACCTGCTCTCAGAGCTTGCTGTGCCGTGAAGAACTTCTGAAGAATTAGTTTTCGGCATCATGATCCAAAAATATCCAAAATAATCCAAATAGTTCCGATGGTTCGACAACAATATGTCAAAACTCCGCGAAGCCTCACCAAACTGAGTGAACAACATCTTCAGCGCAATGCGACTGCTGTACCTAACGACGAATCTGGATCTCTGCCGCTTCAAATAAACAAAAACACACGGTCGCAACTATGCTTGCAGTATTGTATATACGTGTAACTTTTATATATATTATATACCCCTATTATATACTACTCATACAGGTCTATAAGGCGCACTCCGTGATACCTTGGACAAGGTCCAGCGCCGTTGTTCCGCCTGGCATGCTTGAAGCAAGCCTCAGCAAAGAGATGCAGTGTGACGCCAAGCTTTTTGCACCTTCCGTGTCTCTGTGTCTCTGAACCTGACCGAATGAGTGCCACACTGCCCACTGCCGAAATTTGCTAGTGGAGGCTGCGCCCATGCATGTTTGCATCACACGCCCACTTGCATATGTCTGAAAAGTGCAGTGCATGTCTAGGCTTCATTCTCCAAGTTCAGCCACAAAACAACCCTCAGCCACGGCAATAGGGTCTCGTCGTCGAAATGTGAATGGTGTGCTTTTTTTCGGGTATCCACATTGGCGCGGGCTAGTTTGACCTGATATGCAGTTAGATATTAAGCAAACAGCTGAAGGAAAACGTTTTCCTGAGCCTTGTGAACATGTTGCAAATTGCTTGAGCCAACTGGCAGCAGGGAATAGACTGACACTGGACAGCGTCGGCAACGACATCATTGAGCCAACTGGTTTGCAGCATTGCAACCATGCAAGTGGTTTAATGTGTTTCAAGCAGAATACAGAATCCAACCGATTGTTGTCAAGCACGCGTGCCACATTTTTAATTTGCGTGCCTGCAGAGTCCCCAAAGCCGACAGCATCTTGCAGCTTGCACACATGCAAAGCAGTCGTGCATATGTCAAATAAACTTATCTTATCTTTGGCAAATAAGCCTTTTTGCGTTCAGCTTTTAGACTATATAACAAAGTCATGTTACTCTTTGCACTGACATCAGAACTGCTCTGAGCATCCTTGGTGAGAGGTGCTTCCCCGGTGAAACAAAAGCTGGGATCTCCATGGATCTGATGCGTACTCCGTACTCCACGCCGCTCAAAAACGCGCGCGCTCCACACTAGTGCTGCACTCGCTTTGCCAGCACTTCTTTGATCACTGAATACATCATGAACTTGGACCTTTGATTGGTGATGTACAAGTCTTGTTTGGGTCGAAACTGTACTTGTAGCTTGTTAGTATGTTCCCATTCCCAGCCATTTGCTCAATCGTGTCATTTTGCCTATGTCCCAGGAGGCAGCATACTAGCTTTTCCAGCAAGCTGTCCAATATCATCATCTGTCCGGTGCGTCAACGATTCCACCTGCGAGTCAGTTCGTCAATGGTGCGACTTCAGCAAACATCCAGCAGCTCTTGTCCCACATCACCATGAAGGACATGTTGAAACAATCCCGAAAGTTCATGAATGTTTCTGATGTTAAGTTTCTTCAGAAATCTACAAACCTTCAAGGAAGCGTCCTTGAAGAAGCGTGAGCTATCCTGCGTCCATACTAGTAGCTACTAGCTACCTCTCCCTAGCTAACCTACCGCTACTGGCAGGCTACCCCCCCTTACAAAAGACATTGTCTTCCGGCTTCACTAGAACAAGGCTGCAACACCTTTTCATGGCCTGCATCAATAGCAAACATGGCTTCACCTTCTGGGAGGCTTGGCCTGAAGTTTCGAAACCACTTCGGCAAAAGCACATCATCTTTTCAGACAATTGTCAAGATTCACAGCTGCATTCAAAACACAAATGAAAACGAACAGCTCAGGCATGGACGAATCATACACCTTGCAAATCCGTGTTTCGCCCTGAGCAACTGTGGATGATGGTGAAGGTGTGAGTTTAGTCAACAACTACCAGTATGATGCCATTGCACAGGTGTCAACAACTTATATAAGCCTTATGTCTACCTACTCCGACCTTCCGTTTGCACATTTAGAGCAAAGCTTCTGCGCAGTGCCAAACTGCTTCTTAATCTGTCTTGCCTTGCCCTTCCTGAAATAGAGGCGTGTTTGGCTCGCATGGCCAATAATGTGGCCTCCTATTGGCTTCACCTTCACAGGCGAAAGCTGAAAGCAAACATGCAGGGCAAGCAGAAGGGACACACGTGAGAGTAAACGATGAGAAACTGAAATCTGCGAGGTTTGACCCTGTCACTGTCTGTGGTTTTCTTGAGGTATTTGAGACAGCCCCAACCCCAACTGGCCGCAACAAACACAGCGTGAAGCAACTGGCCAACAGGCTTTTCTAAGCTTGCGTGTCACTCACTGGACTGGGGATCAAATGGATGTGTGCGCAAGTGGTGTTCACCTACAAACTGTTGTTTTTCCACGGGAAGAATTCTGAAGAATGCTCAAATAACGCTTGAGCCTGAGGCCCCATGTACGCCGCAGGGCCACTCTCTGGCGATGCCATCACCTGGCTTCAAAAAGGTGCCAAGGCGGGCATCCAGCATCCAGTCGAGGCTCGGTCGAGGAGGGTAGAGATCCGAAACACATGTGTCAATCATAATACGTATGATAAATTTAAAAACATATATGTTGTATATATTATAGATTGTGTTGATTTTATCTTTATATTGTATATATTAGATAACATACTGTATAATATATAATATATAATATAACATAACATAATGCAGTCAAATCTAGAAACAATATATAATACAATACAATGTAATATAGTATAATATACTATAGTGTATTATGTTATGTCGTTATATATATATGGGTGTTTTAATGTTATATTACATTATATAGAGTTTATCTAATTGTATATAATGTATATATATATATAGTTTGTACTATATATATATTGCAATATTGTATGTGTATATATATATACATGTTGTGATATTATCTATATATATATCTATTATATATATATCATAGTATATTATATATGAGCCAGCGTCTAAATTGTTGGTTCGGGCTGTATTCATAAGTAAATTAGGGGGTCCTCTATCGTTTTGGGGTGGGGCTATAAAAACCCAATACTGACGAAACGTTCCATATATAAAATGCCTTTACGATAAATTAGACTACAACTCATAGCATATATTATGAGTATACAAAAAAAATCTAAAAAATACTGATTTGTGGTCCGGGCGGGTAGGCCGCTAAGAGGTAAGAGGTATAATCCGCTAGTAAGTAACTTTATTAGGTACTAAAGACGCTCCTAGGTAGGACGCAGGATAGCTCGCACTAACTACACAACACTGCAACACTGATTTCATACACGAATGGGGTGAGGGATAAAAATCTACTGTACGACAGTTGCCTGTGCCTGGTTTGTGATCACAACAGCAACACCATGCTCATCTGCTATTCGCTGCAACTTGCGCAAGTAGCGATTGAGGGCCTGAAAGGAGGCTGAAGATGGCTGAACCAAGCTAACAGAATCTGTATACTACGACACTGTATAAATCCGAAGCCTGCCTGCTGACGTTCTGCAAGCTCTCCCCTGACATCAAGCGCGGTTTCCAGCACCCCTGCATGGATGGCCCCAGTTTATGCTGAATGCCCTCCACCCACAACAGGAGCAACTTTCGGGTCATGGAGAGCGTGCCCCATTAATCAGTAAGTTCATGGCTTATGTTTCATGTGCAAGAACATGAGGATTGAGGCCGCGCAACACGTGCCACCCTTCTCCACGCCAAGAGCTTGTTGGCGTAAGACAATGCTTTAAGACACAAACTTAGACGTGGAAGCCTTGACTTTTTGGACTGACGCCCTGATGGATTGCGAGGGATGATCGGAAGTGGAGGCTTCGCGTGCAGAACCTCCTGGCCTTCCCTGTTTTGGGTACATTGATTCAAGGTCTGCAAACAACTCCAGCATAGATCAACCCATTCATACCCATTCCAGTTTGCTTGGCAGATCGGTGGTGAGCTTTGTCAAGGTTCTATATAGAATGGTCACTCTCCTGGAGAGAAAAACATCAGACCATTTTGGGGGGCATGTCTTTCATTGTTAAGTTAAAAGGGCCGAGTGTCCAGGGGGACAGGAGATCCAAACCAACTTCAAAACGGGGAGTTCCTGGCCAAGTTCGAAGTCAGCAAACGGCCCAGCAGGGCAAGGGACATCCAGGTCGAATCCAACGGCTCAGGTCAGGTGTGGTTTCAGGAATCGAAGTCGGTAAGGCCCAGGCTGCCAGGATGAGTTCCAATTCCATCAGAGATGTGATTCCCCTACATTTGGAGTCCAGGTTCAGGTGTGTAAGCCTAGTGCTGGCGAGAAAAGTTCCAGTTTGTGTTGGGGTTCGAAGTCAGCGATTTGAAAGAAGGGGTTGAGACTTGGGAGACCCGCAGGTGGTGAGTGGAAAGAAAGAAAGCGTCTCACCTGTTCGGACAAAAGTATCATGGGAACATCTGAGGGACTCACGTTTTGTTCAACCCTGACCTCACTTTGAGTTGGAGGGCATCCACCAAAAAGTACATGCGGCAGCATGCCGAACAAATGCAAAGGCAAGACTACAACAACAAAGAGAGGACTCAGCACGGGCAGATAACTAAGCGCGAGGACCTGCACAAAGAGTAAAGACACAACCTTGGTGCACTGCATGAACCTCAAAACCCACATGAGTGCAAGACCTTGGGCTACAAAAAGTATGCTGTGAACCTGTGGTCCTTTATGCGACAGCTTTCGAAGCAGAAATCTCCTGTCAAAATCAACCCTTTAATCCAGAGGGCAGTCCCCACCAGGTATTACCAGGCGTTTTCCCAATCCTTCATGGCACCCCAACCCCGGCCTGCCACTGTAGTCAGTTCGAAAGAGACCAGTCGCGCTGTCAACAATCAGGACAGCCTTGTATCGGTGATACGATGTGATACTCCGGTACGCCACTTAATTACGAGTTTCAGTGTGTAGGTTCAAGCTTAGCTGGATTTTGAGGTTCGACAGCTCTTTACAGAGCGAGACTCTCAGGCTTCGACATAGCGAGACTCACAGAAGACACTTGCAGCCTCCACCAACAATCTGTCCTGGAAACGATCAGTGTGCTTGAGGCAAACCTACGTCCTTAGTCCTTTCATTGCATGGATGTCAAGTTTGGCAATAACATAAGTACTTGGATAAGCTGTATAAGGGAGAAAATGTGAGGTACTCTAGCTATCAGTTGGACATGTTTATCTTGGCAAACTCTGCTTTCGCGATGAAACCAGCACAAATCACAGCAAAAAGCAAAGTCGTGCAAAGGCAACAGGTTCGCCTGATGCTCCGCATTGTAGGCACGCGCATATGTCACGTTTTCCAACACATCCTGCATTCGTGCTGTGGTAGGTGCATACACCCAAACGGCAACATCCAAGACTAATTACTTCAAATGAACTTGTTTTGTGCCCTTGCACTCAACAGAAGACACTCTCTCTCTCTCTCTCGCCTCTTCATTGAGCCCATAGCGTCTGGCAATGTCTGCCAATCGCTCAGGTCTAAAGGTACCCTGTGGCGCTGCGCGCTCCGTTCTCAAGTTGCTTCGCAACGGTGCGGTGAGTAACACTTGCTCAACATTTTACAAGCAAAACTGAGACATCAGCTTCTGTGTCAATATACAAAGCCTGACAAGAAACGGATAGCCAAATAGCAAGAAAGGACTGGTTGATGAGGATTCGCTTTTCTGGTGTTGATTCTTGTTTTTGAAAGCAAGTGGCACCTTGCTTTCACCACCTCCCTTGCTGATGGGCAGCTGGCAAGCCACACACAATGTATGGCCTGGTTTGAAATCAAGCTCTTGATGCTAACAAATCTGCAAGTAACAGCAAGAAGGAATAAACATCAATAAATAAACCGCTGTTCTTCACTGACTCCGGTACAAAGCTGCGTCTTGCCACAGCGGAATTCACCAAACACCTGGTCCAAGTGTTGGTTCTAGGAAAAGGGCCAATAAAGGCATCGGTGCAAATGCATGAAGTCGTTCCATACCATCGGAGGTCAATGGCATCGGCCCCAAACATCCCCAACATGAAACCGTGATGGAGGAGAAAAGGACACTACAAATTTGTCACGTGAAGTTGGCTTGGTAAGGACTTCAGGAATCTGCAGGTCAAAAGCTAGGAAGTTCAATGGGGTTCAAGGCATTTTCTTTAAAGCCCGCTCCTACAAAATTACAGTAAGTAGGCGCCTACTAAATTCAGTAAGGAGGTGAGCTTCTAGTAACTGGACGCAGGATAGCTCGCTTCCTTGAAGAAGCGCTCGCACTAATGATTCGGTTCCTAGACTTTTAGGGAAGCTTAGCTTCAAAGCAGAACCAAATCAGCTACTGCACCAAGCCACAGGCTGTTCGCAGACCCAACATCCAGAGAAATGAAGATGCATGTGACACGTGAGAGGCAAGCAATTCTTTCTGTCTGGCTGAATGTCATGAGAATTTGGCAACTGTGTACACCTTGGAATCAAAGGTCTGCAATCTTTTGCAGTTTGCTGAACATGAGAAACATGTTCTTTTTGCGCAGTTTGTTTGCAGTGTTCCTTTTTTAGATAGAATTTGGGTGCCTGCTCTCAGACCAGGTCATTTCTTACAGTCAGTGGGAGGCCATCCGTCTTGTCATCGGTGGATGCTAATGACAAGAGCTGTAGACGTATCTGCTTTCATCTGTTTTCTAATCGACGATTTCTCTTGTTCCAGCTGAGGCTCTTACTCATTTTAAGGACCTAGACTCAGGCCACTGCATCAGCTAGGTTCTATGGGTCAGACTATTGTTGTGAGAATTTTCTGTGAATGAGGGAGATTCCGGAGCCACTTCGCGGTCCCCATCATTTTGACCCTATACACCTTAGCTCATGTACAGGAGTTCCAAGAGAGCTGCCAAGGTCCAGCCTTCGATGACCCTGCACAAAAAATAAACTGCCAAAAGCAGTTGCACGTGTTGTTGTTTTTCAGCATTCAATGGGAGTCTTCAGGCAAACCATTGTGCATATGGGGGTTGTCCAACAAAGCTCTTCTTTTTGAGCTTGTATCGCCGGCCTTTCGCGACCCTTTCGCGTTTGCAGAAAAACCACAGGTTTTCCTTTCGCGCATTGTGATGAGCTTGTTCCATATCACTGAGTTCACAGTGTTTGGGACATCTAAGTCCCTTTTAGTGCGCTGAGAAGCAGGTTAATTACCCTTTGTCAATTCATACTTGAAACAAAGGTTTCAAGGCTTATTTCAAGGCCATGGATGGGCAAATGCCCTTCCAGGCAATGCGCTCTTTCGCGGGCCTACCGCCGGCCTTTCGCAGCCCTTTCGCGAAAATCCGTGTTTCTGTTCGGGAAAAAGGATGTGTCATGTATTATGCACATTGTATGTAAGTCTAGGTTGGCACATGTCTTTCGCTGTCCTATCGCCGGCCTTTCGCGGACTGCAGTTTCCCTTTCGCGACATGATTGTTTTAACAGTTGATCGAAATTCCTTCACTGGCAATAACGGACGGCCCTCGTATAAAAGAACAGAACAATGTATAACAAGAAGAATTGAAGAATACATGCTGTTTGAGCGTTTGTGTTCTGGGATGAACCCCACCAACCCAGATCCGGGGGCCGAGGCAAAAGTGCAAAGTGTTTGTTGAACTTCGACCTTCGATCTTTGACTTTGCATGCTACCCCACGCAAAACTTCCAAGTCCTTTTGACTTGCAAAACCTACGAAGAGTCCAATGCTCGCTAGGTACAAGTATACTCCTGGAATCCGGTGTCAATGATAAGTTTCCAAGTAGGAAAACGTGCAACTTATCAAGTCCGCTGATTTCCTGTGTAAATTTGGCCGCAGTGTGTCCAATCAGTTTCAAAAGTTAAATTCGAACTGGTCAATCGCCTTGACGAATAAACTGTGCAGTTGGGGGCTGGTTGACAAACTCAGGAGCCAAAATGACTACAGAAAAATCATAAACTAAACAAGAAACTACTAGGGGCTCCTGGCCTTACTACTAGGAACAAGGACGCTACTAGGGCCGTTTTCGCGCGTAGATTGACTCCGTGGGCCTCTGTGATCTGCCCAGTCCTGCTATGGTGCAGGTCAACCCGCAAGCGATCGCAAGCGCAGGGTCTCACAGCTCTCAGCTGAGACAAAACAAATCTGAACAAATTAGTACGTTGCCACACACGAACATGGGCTTTCGAGGTGATTTCATGCCAGAAGCACTAAATCTTGTCAAACAGGCCAGTCTTTCTCTACACCGCCTTTGAGCAAGTGGTCCAATTTAGCTGAACCTGTGGTGATCTGAACCTCGTGGACTTCAACAGCAAAGAGATCAAACATCAAAGCTGGCAGCCGGCAGCCGTCTTTGCTGTCCTCCTACACTTCATGACTTCTGAGTTTCCCCACCATATTCCGGCGCAGCTGCAGCATCTCCGCGGCACTCACCTGGCACGAGCTTTCGTCTTGAGCGGAAGTATCGGCCTTGTTGGTGCCCGCACCATGCGCATAGGTACAAGCTGCTTGGCAGCCGCATAGATCCGTGCAGCCTACGGAAACCAAAACAAGCCAGCATCATGCTCCTAGTAGCGTCCTTGTTCCTAGTAGTAGCGATGCCAGGAGCCCCTAGTAGCGTCCTTGCTCCTAGTGGCATCTCTGCTTTGGCATCACAAGTTGGCCTTTTGTTCACCGATGCCCTTCACTTCACATCTCAGTCACAGCTCTATGCTCATGAAGCACCCCGACACCCCAACCCATCTTAACAGTCCCAACTGCACTTTCCCACACTGCCGGAACAAGAACTCAATCCTACTTGCTTCTCTGAGAACAAAGCAGTTTCCGCTGCGGCATAAAGGCAATTGTCTCAACCTTGATGCCATCTGTGATGGATTGGATGCCGATTGCTGAGTTGACTTTCAAACAGGTTTGAGCGTAGGACACAGTGAATGCCGTGATCAAGAAGAGCATTTAAGTCCGTCTGCCATGATAACAGTTTTCAAGCGCAAACATCTATTCTGGAAAACAACACCCAAGTCTCTTACAACGGTTTTCTCGTGCCTTTGAGAGGCCTGCACCCTTCTGGTCGACACTTGCACAAAGCCGTTCCAACTGCCAGTGGACGCTCCGAAACGATCCGCTAGAAATTCAGCGCTTTTGTGCCCAAGCCTTGGTGATTCCTGGTTCATCATCTGCATCTGCCTCAACCACCTGAACTGCTCTGTGAACATGCCATCAAGACTCACACCACTAACCACCGCTGCCTGCTCTTCAGATGCAGGCACTTCCGGTGCCTTGCAAATATGAAGGAAGTGCACGGGCAGCTTGATTTGACACTGTTTCCCTTTCATATCCTTTCCAAACAAAGGGCTCGCAAATGACCTAATAAAGTGATAGAGCACATTCAGCCATAATTGAGTTGCAGCATGTTGCAGCAAGGCCTCAACCATGGCTGCATCCTGCATTCGGTTGAAAACAAATGACCCTGGCAAGGCAGCTGCTGTGCAAGAAACCACGCCTCGAGCCCTGTCTCTCTTCTCACCCGTTTGTTCTGCCGCACCTCGCCAATAGCCAAAGTTCGCAAAGACAACAGGGTGCGGGCATGGAGCCCAAACAAAAACGCAAACAACAACAACAACAACAACAACAACAACAACAACACGGAAGTCAGAGTTGCGATGGAATAGGCCTGCACTTGTTGCTCCATGAGAGCACAAAGATTGGATGGCACTGACCCGTTGGTTCCTCTTGTGTGACTAACGTGTTGTCAGTCCAATCAAGGGCCCTCGTTTGGAAAGATTGTATTTTGATGTATTTTACATGTACAAGGCAAATTGTTGCCTCTTTGTAGGAATCATGTTCCCAGTTTTTCTGGTCTGCTAAACCTCTTTGCGGTACCACATTGCTTCACTTGTAGCAGCAGCATCTTAAAGCTCTGAAGCGAAGGAGCAAGCCGCAAAGAAATCAACATCTCTTCAACGTCAGCAACTGCTCAAACTTCAAGATTAGGGTTGATCTGGTGCAGTAGTTAGTGTGCAGTAGTGTGCAGCTCAACCAGTTGTTTTCCCCAGAACTGAAGGTCTGCAGATGCTGCGGCGCATGGCCTGCCAAACGTGTGCGGTTTGTGTGCTGCAAATTCCACAAATGTTCTGAGGCAAAGACCCAATAATTACCTCAGCTGCGAGTTCTGTATAGTATAGTATAGACTGCGTAGCCTTTTGTGGCTGAACGAGGTTTACTATGGTTTACTTAAATCCTTTCATGTCCACTGTAAATCAAGGAAGTATCCATGCACTGAGAAGCCCTGCTTGAATTCCCAAGAGAACTTCCTGCAATGCCATTTGTGTGCTGTTCCTACGTTTGCAACATGCCCAAAATGACAATAAATGAAGTTTAAAAAAGCAAGTCCGCAACGCAAATTTGGCGGTCCCGCAGCACCCATCGCAGGGGGCTGTCCAATTTTGGACTCCCTTGCTTTGTCCCTGGGATGGTGCGGTGTTGTGTCTTGAGACGCACTTCGAAATGCATCAAGAATCAAGGATGAACCCTCCTGCCAACACCACACGAAGAGTTATTGTACATTTTCCATCTTTAGAGCGTTCTCCAACCTTCCTTTCATCAAACCAACCATCCTGGAAAAGAACCCTCCGCACCCTCCAAATGTGCTTTTGATTCCACAAGTGATAGTATGCTCCTCGCCATTTGGACTCACCAACAAGCCACTGCAGAAACTGAACAGTGTGCTGCGATCTGGGGGCCATGCGCAATACCCAAATGATTGACGAAACCAATCTCGCGGCACATTCGAACGCTGAAAGCGCTTCGGAGTAGTTGCAAGGAGCAGAATGTCTTTAAACACTTTCATTTTTTCATAATGTTGTTGAAGTGTAGTTTTGTGTTCGTTTGGCGCAACTATATCTTAGACGCGTGGTTCCATCCATCGCCTCCTCATCAGACGAGACCGTGGAGTCACCCCTGGAGTGCGCAAAGGTGGTCGATTTGATTCATCAAAGGGCCAACAGTGACCGTGCCTGCTCGTAGCCACCAGATTTGGGTGGCCTAGAAGGTATCCATCTCCGTACTCTCCGTACGCCTTACTTTGAATGGCGCACATCATTCAAGCGTTTGCTACTTGGGTTGGTCTGAGGTCTGAACCCTTCGTGACAAACCTGACAATTGCCCAAGAAGCCACATTCAGCATGGGAGGCAACGTCCATTATGGGATATGCTCAGCACCACACCCACAGGTGCTCTTGAGGCCTGCAAATACTGCAATGTAGGGTCACCAAACTTGCCAACCAGCCCCAAAAGTTGCACAGAATAATTCCAAGTTCATCAACAGTTTTACCGGCACCAATAGCATCAATCTCGGAAAGCATTGTCGGAATTTTGATATCAATCTGTTTGGCTTGTGTGAGTTGAGCTGGTGCGAGTGGCGGAGGCGTAGGCGATGGGAAGAGGAGGAGGAGGCGAAGGAGGAGGAGGACGAGGACGAGGACGAGAAGGGAGCCGCGGCCGTAGCACAGTAAAAGAAAGAACACCAAAATAATCCAAAATAGTATGCGTGGAACCAACCCACTTCCACTGCTTCCTACTGAATGGTTTAACTTGGAGCTAGTTGTAGGCGACACCCACCGACATGGTGGGGAACAAGCTGCTGGCACCATGCCAGAAGAGCTGGTGACATCAGTATCGCCTAGTGACGACATTGTCTTAGCAGTACCACACAATCTGCCACAGAAGCGACTTGAAGTTTGTGCTGTGTTTGGTGCTTGGCATGTGGAATGCTTTTCGGCATAGCATTGATTGATTTGGGTGGGTAGAAGGGAAATCATTCAGCAGATACACTGCATGTTGTAGCGCCATGGTATGCACAGCACTTGGTTTGTCCTCAAACCCATGCTTGACTAGAGATTGGAATCCAACAGCACTTAGTCTTTCTTCGTTGACCAACGAGCTTTTTGCCTTACCAGCGTTGTGAGAAAAGGCAAAGTTAAGAAACTACCAACATGTTGACAGATTGTCGAGTTTTGTGCAGTTCATCGTTCACCCTTTTTCACCCCTAGGCCCTCACATGTGTTTCATGTCCGCTTTGGTCTAGCATACTGGCCGATTTGGGATCATGTGGTTCGTTCTCTCACTCTCTCTCTCACTCTCTCTCTCTCACTCTCTCTCTCTCTCGTCTAGTTGTCACGAGCCTCAATCTGCCCTCTGTACAAATGTCCGGACCTCAAGATGCTGCTGTCAGCATCACACCAGCTTCAATGCAAAAGCTGCTCAATGTATAAGTTGGTGGCTTGGAAGGGGATGCAGCGGAGGCACGGATCCGAAGATCACCATCTGCCTGCAGACAGAACTTCGCTTCGACGATGTCCATGTCAAAAGCATGTTTTGAACATTGATCAATGCTCCCCAAAGCCTCGGAAGTCTCCTTAACTGTGTGTTGCAGCATGAGAGGACCAAAAAGGTCCTGCAGCGTGAAGAGACAAAACCAAACCGTCATTTGGCTTAGACTTTCTGGATTGTCTTCTCAGGAGCATCCGCAAAGCCAAAGTGTGATCTCGGTGATGTCCCGTCTAATTGTCAGTGTCCGCGGGGCAGGTTCGTCCTTGGTTGGTATCGTCGTAGACGGTGGTGCTTCGGGTCCATCATTCGCCTGGGAGTTCAGGTTTGCGCCATCCCGTCGCAGGCATTCAACCCACTTGTTGTGCAATACATGTTGGAATCTGTTTGGTTTCCACGTAGAACAAAACTTAAAGTCGAGCGTCCAATAACGTTGCAGAGCCACATGCCTGAGAAGACATGCGGAAGTGGCAGGAAACTCGCCAGCTTCCGAGCTAGTTTTTTTATTGTATACCGCCAAAAACTTTGAGATAGTATCTCATCAGCCTCTGCCACCACCATTGAGCGGGGGGTTGAGCATTCCCCAGCCAGCCATGCCTGCAAGCTCACAAGTTTCATATCTGTCTCGCTCTGAAAGTGTGAGTGATTTGTTTCACGCTGTCCAAGTCACACCGCACAGCATGTTAAGGAATGGAACGCTGTCATGCAAAACAAAGAGGTTGGACCGGTTGGAATGAAAGGACTGTTGGAGTGGGTGGTCAGGAGGGCGCAGCTGATCAGGCAAAAGGTGAGGTTGAGTTCAGAGCCCCACACAAAAGAGTACAAAACAGTACAAAAGACATTGCTGAGAGGTTTTGTGCTTTCGGACACAGTGTGAGTCGGGAAGACAAGGCCATTGATGAATGCCGACTGCTTCGCAAGAGATGGACATTATTAATGACGAAGGAGTAAGCTGGAAACCGAGACCAAGACTCTGAGGTTGAGACAATGAACCTTATGGCAAATACTGGCACGATGGACTTCTGGGCTGCGCAGTCCAGAGAAACCCGACACCTCGGCAACCCCCCTTAATGCCATACCCTCATATACTATATACCCTGAAAATAGTCACAATGTGACATGTGTATACATGTGTATATATATATAGATATGTGGCTGTGTTAATTGATGACGTGGCCCTTTTGCAATTGGCACGTCTATTTGCACTTGGTGCAGGCCGAACGCTTGCCTCTTGGAAGATCCATGTCCTTTAGTTTGTTTCCCGTGCATGTTGGGAGCTTCTTCTCCCCCTCTTTTCACTTTGGGGTTCTGTAGTGTCTAGGTCAGCGGCCTGGCACCTGACCGGCCATGCTTTTCCGCGTGGAGACCGGTTGCGCTTGGTGATATAGATACATACCCTCACAATCCCTTACACACGCACACCACCTGCGCGCACTCTGCACTAGCTTGACCAAGGTGTTGTGAAGGACACACATGCCACCTTTGCATGGGAGTTGTCTTTCCTGTATTGCGCGTGGCAGGCGCCCGCCACTCAAAGCTTCAGCTTCGGTCTCATTGACAAAGACCGCGCTATCTGGAGCGCTGATTGTGCCAAACTCATACGGAGCACAACTGGCATTTCAAGAAAGGGCACACAAACTGCGAACTGCAGGCTGTGAGCAGGATGGCACAAGAGTGTCTTTAAAAAAAAGGCTGGAATCAAAGAGCATCGACACCGATGCAACCAGCTGGAAAATGGTCGTGAGACCGGACCAAATACATCATACAGTGATGCATGAACTGATGATCTAGTAATTAAGTAGAATACACAGAACTGACCACAAATTGGGACATGGTTTGCATTCAAAAAAAATGTCTGCAAATTGATAAGCACTCAAACCTCATGAAGCCGTGCTATTGCAAAGGTGACCAATCTTTCTTGTAGTAGTAACAAGGGCATCGCTACTAGGAGCAAGTGCATCGCTACTAGTAGCAAGAAGCTACCCTTTTATTTTTTCAACCACCAATCTGCGCTCCCATGCAGTCCTCGAGCTCCCACTCACGATACCTCTCACGAAGCATTTAAAAGCGAGGTCGACAAGCGTTTGACAAGGGAGACGTGCTACTCCACGCTTTGTGTGGGAAACACAAGTGTGTTACTCCTTTTGGTCAAAGCATGTTGCATTGAACTGTTGAATTGTGCAAAATGTTTACACGGCAAACAGTTAGTGTGGAGTTTCAAGTTTTTCTCACTGAATGTCGCAAATGATATACTTCTTCAATTGTCCACACGGTAGGGAACACACTCTGTGAATGAGAATCCTTTGTGCTGACTCGTGCGGAATGTCTGCGGCATTGTTCAGTAGCTGCACAATAGAAAAACATTGCCTGCCATAGGAGTTCCTTTGCTTAAAGTCGCATGGAATGTCTTCGCACAGTCCCCCTCAAACGTGCTCCCTAACAACCACCAGAACCTTGCTCTGTAGCCTGTTCCTCAACAACTCCTCCTCCTCCTCCTCAGAATTTTCTTTGCAACCTCCCTCTGAACCTGCTCTGCTCTACCTAATCCAACCTAGCCTGCTCGACAACTTGCCCCGACACCTGGGGAATTGATATGTTCCGAGGCTTTTTATGTAGGCTATGCGCTGCATAGAATGAATGATTGAAAGGCGATTCTGGGCTATAAAGATCTGAATTCTCCAGAAAAGGTTCCATTCGGCTCTTTATGCATCAAGCTTCGCAGGTACCTTGTACATTTGAAGACTCTACGAAGCACTGAGAGAAATATCAAAGCCATGCTTTCTGCTCTGCTGTTTGGAGAGCCTCTATAAAATGTCCAGCCAGGTGGACCTACCACAAATCAATGTGACTCAATGATTCTTCTGGGAAGGCATGAACCGTCAATGTCTCTGTCTGAAACGACCGGCAAAAATACATCCGGAACCTGCTTCCCAACCTGCTCTCAAAGATGTTCCGATTTGCTTGATGCTTTTGACTATTCTTGTAACATTGTAACCCCAAGCTACTTCTGCTGGTGAAAACAAAAAGGACTGGACAATGTCTTATAGCGTAACATACATTAACATCAACATCTGAATGCGATTCTTCCAATGTCATCTGATGGCCCCATCTGGGCCATGTGGGAGGGAGCGGGCGCACTGGGCAGAAGAAAGCCACATACCTTGTATCATTTGCGGAGAGACACCTCTCTATATAAATGTTTAAATGCACAGCACGAAGCGAGATCATGATGCTGACGCTTCACACAAAACTGGCCGCATGTACGTTTTCTCTATGCGCTCTTTTGCACCTACACGGCCGTGGGCATGGGGAATTCAGCACGCCACTAGGCCACAATTGTGCCAAAGCCAAGCTGGATGAACAGCAACAAAAGGAGTCGTAAAGCTTTCAGTGCATTTCAATCAAGGGTGGAGGCCATCGCCATCGCTATTAGGGTGGAGGCCATCCAAGCAAGGCTCAAAAAAGGCCCCCAACCGAGGCCGTATTTCTGCGGGGATCGAATCTTTGCAACCCCCGATAGCCTTCTTGAGAGGCTGGAATTCAGCACATACATTGGGTGAACTGTGATACGGGTCGCGACGTCGACTTCCTGTCAGGGCACGAACAACTTCTATTATCTTCTATTTGGATATGATCTTCGCGAAAACAAACTCAATGACAGATTGCTATCAAAATGGCATTGAGCAAAACCATTGTTCGGTCACCATTGGAAAATCTGCTAGCCCATGGGCCAAGGGGGGTGGCACCAGCACAGAACTAAGGCGCATGCGCAGTAGAGGGTGCAGTGGCCTCTAAAGTCGGTCTCTGTGCAGAGGGGTTGTTGCTTCATCTGTGCAGAGGCCGCTCTGCCCCCGTACGTAGCAGTGATGGCCTCGAACCACTACCAATAGCCTCCAACCTTGTACTAGCGATGGCCTCGAACCTAATAGCGATGGCCTCCTTGCTTCACCTTGCTTCATTGCTGGGTCTCAGCCATTTGGGCGCAAAAGCTAAGAACGGATTGTCGGGCAAACGGATGTGAACTGAGAAGCTTTTCGTACAATCTGGGGCGCACGTTCGGCGACACATTTTGGTTTCGAAGACACCCAAAAGGAAATCAAATGAGAGAATGTTGTTCTTCCCATCACATTGTACGGACTCCAACAAACTTTTCTGATGGCATTTGATTGCTTGTCGGATCTTGTCGGCAACCAAGCATCTCAAAGCATGACCAAATCTGGAGGATGAATCAGCATCTGTTTGAGTTCCAAACAAATTGCCTTTCATGAAGGCATTTAGATTTCTGAGAAGAAGGTCGAAGAAGGCCTTGTCTAAAGGCGTTTCCGCCCAGGGGGAATGCAGCCCAAGAGGTGATGAGGTTTTGGGAGCGAGGGGAACCATCTGTTCCAGCCAACAGATTGGTTGTGAAGAGATTAAAACACCTTCATCATCCTTCATCGATATCAAACCAGGTTCCTCTGCATTGCTGAGTTTCTAATCTGCCTTGCTTTTGAACTTGATTCTTATTCAATATGTGAAACATCCTGGAGCTTTTTTAATACAACTTATTGGTGGGCGTTTTGTGGAACATCTATCATGTCTATCACATACTGGAAACTCAGGCTTGCGTGTTTGTCTTGAACATTGTTGCCTTTTGAATCTGACTTTCCTTTCAACTCGTGCCCCTTCGGCACTTTGCGTGTGAGTTTGATAACCTTTGAGTTTCTGCCAGCTGAGATTCATTGGTTCAACGGTCATTTCCGCACTTCTGCAGTGGTGCGCGCGTCCCTTTGTCACACTTTGCATTTATGTGCCCGCTGGAATTTGACTATGTTCACTTTTGCCTGATCACACAAAATGATGAACCATCATGAAACATCAGCTTCAGTTGATCACTTCGTACAAAAGCAACAAGCTGTACATAGTGAACGAAATCTGAACTAGTTACGAGTACTGTATCCTGTGTATGTATATATATATATAAACTGTTTTCCGTGCCAGCTCTGGCTGCGTGCC